TCCGACGACTTCGGGCTTCTTCGTGCTCGCTGACGCAGGTATAATGTGAAAATATGAAGGAATGAGACTTTATAACGTTTTTGCGCAAGATCGCTCTGGATCATCTGGATATTAACGCCTGTGAGACAGCATCAGCTCTGCATCGCCGTACCGGTGCTTGGATTCCGGGATGTGTCCGAGGATCGATAGAACTTTGAGTGCTTTTAACATGAAATTTTCGCATTCTCTTAGCTTTGTTTGAACGTTGAAATATCTGAGAATCTACGCGAAATGTATACGTCGCGTTAGGGCCTAAGGGAAGTTGTTTCAGCCCTCCGTCACCGAACAACCATAGCAACTTTTAGCGAGGAAGCTCCTGCGATTTTAACCTTTTGTGCTAATCCACGATTCTACATTCGATCGCTTTGCTTCCTTTCTTTTTGTGTGTGTGAGTGCGAAGTGCACCCTTATTTTCAGCTACGAGGTTGGCGTTTTATTGAGTATGGGGAAGAATAAATCGTTGCAGGCACCTGCTTCAAAGCTATTCGACTTGCTATAAGAACAACTGTTTTGATGCATGCATAGATTAACTGCGCATTTTTTCTGTTTTGTAGGATTTATTGCAGCTATACTCTTTTCCATCAAGAGTGCATTGTATTAGTCGGTCAATTATTTAATTGTTCTAATTACCTGGATAAGATGATTCATATTCGTTTTCATCCCTTGCCTGGAGAGCAGTCTTGTTGAAAAATGTTGACTACCATTCCTTTCGGTCTCTTCAATAGACTCTTTTTAAAAGTGTGGGCTGTCTATACTTCGCATCACCGTAACTTGGAAAAGGCCAACCGCCACAGCCCCCTCGAGCCAATCAGAGAGACGAAGCGAAGGTGTGTGACAAATCTGTGCAGACGAGCACTCTGGTGATATGCTGTCATGTGCCTCTCTCCAATGTGTGTATTGACTCACCGAGACCGTAGCCTTTGCCGTCTGCCAAATTCTGATGAAACAAATTACAAACTGTAATTACCCCAGGCTTTCATACTTTGGGTATTTGTTCGACAAGAATGTTATGTCCGCCATCCCTGTGAATTCGGCTCAGCAACTATTGGACTCGAATGCTGCATTGGCGTTCGACATGAACTGGGGCCCATTCGTGTGCTTTGCGCCGAACAAAATGGTGACGGATGTGTTGCTTGAAAAGGTTCTGCAAAGGGTCTATTGTGTCATACATATAAGAAGTGTCATGCTATATAGCAATGCATCAACACATACTATTAAACTATATGCTCAGAGGTGTGTTTGTTTTTCCAATTAACAAGTTACAGCAGTGTGCTTTAATGCTATTATCATGTGTGTAGTTTTAAGTATCCTCTCTGCAATGCCTACGAAGGACCCTGGCAGGAATAAATTAATGAATAACATTTTCACATCACTGCAGTTGGTTTTCGGATGCACCACACGTTCAGGAAAGTTTGAACGAGTGCAGCCCCTTGCAAGAAGTCTGCCAGTCTGGTATGACCCCTTAATTAATATTGAAGAGTCAGAGAAGCGAGTGTCCTCGTAAGGTCTAGAGCGTGCAATGGACACAATTCTCGGTGTGTAGACTCTCAAGGCATGAAGGCAAGCGGAAATATGTTTATCTGGTTAGTGTATCAAATATGTTTATTTCCGCTTGATTACATAATTATTGATTCTTAGTAAATGGTTCCATAACGAGTTCTTTCTGCGACAGTCTCGTGTCAGGCGTTCAGTCGTAGTACCTGTGGACCTTGTTGTCGGATGACGCTCCTGGCACGTCGGTGTTCAGTTTGGTCGAGTGGCAACTTTGACCGACTGATGCTGTCTTGTAATCATACGTCATGTGCACTGAAGCTGCAGGGCTGGCTTCTAATCCGAAAATTTTCCTGGTAGTTTTCGGCATCAATGTAGCAAGCTCGGGCATGTATTGCTTACGTGGCTGTGCCTTTCGCTGTACCGTTGACTTGAAAGCTGGCAACAATTTTTGTTTGCTATCCAAGTCTGGTGATGCTTGCAGTTCACTTTTGAGGGCAACCAACCATTCTATTCCTTCAAGTCACTCAGGGGCATTCTCCCTCAAAGTTGGAAATTGTGTGCTTCGTGGAGTGGACACAGAAAATTGGTGTCAGCAAATTTTTAGGTATTGTCCTTGGACGACAACCGACACCAAATCCACTGTCACTGCATCGCCGCTCACCTGCTTTGTCGTGCTTACCTCTTGTTGAGGTGATGGACATGAGGATCTTTGGGGTAATCAGGGATTCAGAATATTCGATTCAGCACCTTCGGCATCAGGGACAAAGATCGCCGAAGGTAATCCTTAATCTCCCGTGGTCGCTCCTCGAGACGTAATCGAGGGTCGTTTGGCACGAACCCTCGCCGACCAATTCATTGGTACGGGCTGCTTTGGTAGACATGGTCGGCTTCATGCAGTGGTAGCAAAGTGGTTTTCGGTCGCACATTCGCATCACCTACGTTTTCCTCGGTGTACTTTGTTGAGCACAGTCCTACACACGATGTCGGGAATGCTTCGGCGTTAGAGTGTCTCATTGAATTGGCATTGAATACTAAGGGGCAGCCGGTGGCGGTCGTCGTGCCATTGTGGCGTAAGTTGCCCTTGGTTTGTCAGATGCCGCTTCGCTCGCAGAAGTCTCGGTTGAAATACCTGTCAATCTTGTTCCGAAACAATCTCGGCAATCAAAATAAAAGCCGGGCAACTGATGGCAGGAAGTAGCGTCCTGATCTCCTTCCAGACAGCGTCGTGGGTGATGTCGTGGATGCCTGGGAGGCTGGCGTCGAAGTAGTAGCTGGACAACTCGAGTGTCGAGACGCCGGGAAGTTCTTCATAGTGGCAGGCTCGGGCATGCAGTGCACATTCCATGTTGGAAGCCTCAGTGATATGAACACTTCGACTGTTGTTGGGGGGTTGCGGACAAGGCTGCCGAAGGTGTTGTCCCTCACGCGAGGCGCATGGGATTCTTAGGTTCTTGTCTTCTGTAGCATCAAGGCCGGCGTGGGCGTGGGCGCTCGATCAAGCGCAGAACATCCTCCACGAGTGCAGTGGCGCTCTCATTGGGGCAGTGTCCTGGACAGAATCAAGAATCCGGCTCTCTTTCGTTGATGTTGGCTGACGGATGCGCGCTTCAGTTTGATCTTGCAAACTTCCCATGACGTTAAGGAGGATCCATGGTTCTCAGACCAGCGCCGGCAGTTGCTTCCACGAGAAGTATAGGTTCTGCAGGAGCTGGTTGTCTGTCCACCCATTGTGGCGGGCGACACTGTCATATTGTTCAATCCAGTCCTTGACCTCTTCATACAGCTTGCGTGAAAAAGCGTCGGAGTGTGATTTGCGACGGGCATGCAAACAATGGTGGGAGGGGACACGGTTTGCTGCTACAGGTTTGTCATTGTTGGCTTAGTCAGCTTCGGATTTTCTGAGAGGAGACCGAATTCCGGTGGTTTTTCCTGGTAGCAGCAACTGGCTCGGATTTCAGGTGCTTCGTGGTGTATTTCCGAGGTTACTCCTTGTGGTACTCGGTCGTCTTGCGGTTGTTCTGCCAGGCTCGGGTCAGGACTTTGCCTACGGCTCGACAGGGGTATAAGACGCAGAATAGTCCGCCAGCCGTGTCCCATTATCGAGTAACTCGGCTGAAGAGCCGCCGGGTTCACACAGAGTGAAGGGCTACGGGTAAAGTGCCCAGCACCTCCACCTGAACATACGATTACAGCTGAGCATGACCTGCAGTGTCCCAGAATAGTGAATATTGATAGAAGATAGGACTGGAACAAGGATCCGTGACAGTATAACAAATCTAGCAGAAGAGAATCTATCCTGACCACTGAAGAAGCTGCATTGCTTTAGTGGCATTCTGTCGGAATAAATCCTCTCCTTCGGGGTTTGGCGACTGCCGTGGACGAACTGAACTGAAATGGATGTGGGACCACTTTTCTGGTAATGAGCCACTGCAGACTGTTGCCACAAAGCGGCGTGAGCTGGGTACGTAACACGCTCGGTGAAATGTCCGGCCAGCTTGCAATTCGCGTAACGAGTGTGGATAAAACGTTTGTGTTGACGAAACGTGCGGCAGACCAGCGGGATCAATACCAACTGCAACACCTGTGCTCCGTGAAAGTGCACGTCTACGCCGGAACAATTTCGGAAGCAGCACAGCATCACCTAAAGCATGGCACAGGAACTACCAGCTTGAAGGCAGCTCTTCGGTGCGCCGCACACCTGTGCTCCGTGAAAGTGCACTTTTACGCCGGAACAATTTGTAAGCAGCACAGCATCATTCAGCACGGCACGGGAACTACCAGCTTCAAGGCAGCCTTCCGGTGCCCCGCACAACCGAAGTGAGCCCTCGGTCATTTGATCGAAGCTGCACCGCGATTACACACCGCCAAGCACTACTCACGCAATTTCCGTCGCTAAACTGTGTATCCAAATATATTGCACACGCTTCACTGCAAACCTCGAAGATTCCGATGGTCAACGAGAGCACAGAAACGTCGCCTTAAATTATATCCTAGTGGTATCCGAATCAATCCGAGGTCCGAGCAACGTAGGTCAGATTGTCTCTTCCGTGGCCAGGTCGGTCACCAGCGAAATGCACACCGTTTCTCCGTATTTTCACGTTATACCTACGTCAAACACCACGCTGAACTCTGAACGCGCTTTCGACCGGCCTCATATGACGGCTTCCGCGTCTGAAATCAACTCGCCGAGACGAACGACAACCAACAAAGCATCCGACAAGCTCCGGCCCAGCTGGGTCCAGCCGCTGCATGGGCGCTGCCATCTTTCCTGTGACGTCACGTATTTGGTTTGGTCATGTGACGTGTGGTCAAATTTGCGTACATACAATGGCAGCCTCCTTATGGGGGTCACTTTCGAGTGCAGACCGGAAGCCCGGTTTATCGCTCTAAGCCCCTCTACCTCGTTGATCATGGCGCATGAAACTCAAAAGCCGTAAAGTTAGCCAAAACAAGCCACTTCTGGATCCATACTGGAGGCCAAACCTAGCCAAACCGAGCCTAACGGAGAAGAAAAGATTGAGATCACCTCGATGTCGTTCCCGGAAAGTTATTCGGTACCTTGAGCAAAGATTTTTGCCACAGCGCAGAGATTCATACGTTGACCGAAAAGGAAATTGATCATCCCGACATTATTCCGGCATCATGGGCGGCGGAGACTTGGTAAGTACTGTCTCTTTGACCTTATGCCAACGGATTATTTCGCGACGGCCGTCGAAGCTCAACGTTTTGTCAGTTTTGTTTACAGTGCTTTTTTTCATCCACTGTCCTTCGGGCAGCGACTCTTGAACGTAGAAACCAACAGAAGAGCATGCCGGTATTCACGTTTTGGGGGCTGGGATTCACGGAGGCCAGAAATCGCCGTCTCCACCGCTGTTTGGTTCTTGTCCGTCGGTTTTCCCCGTCGTGAAACCCGCCTGTCGAGGTTCGTGAACAGCCGTTCTGCGACGTATTGTCATATTGCCGCGATAAATGCCTCATACTCACAGCCCCGCTTTCGTGAGAACTTGCGTAGTCCCAAAATCAGTACTAGGATAGTGGAAGACAACATGAAAGAATGTTTACTTATTACGGACGTAGTTTACACAAACTGAGCACACTATGAAAATGTGTGTTCAGCCTTTTGTGTGGTTACGTTTGCGAATACATTTTGTTCGCATAGGCCCAAGTACGGGATGATTCTATAATACTGGATTTGGCATCCTTAAGTCGGCAACATTTCTTTCCCATTGTATAAAAATGGTGAAGAAAAACAGCTGTGTCGAACTGAATAGTGGCAGTGCTTTTCTTCCTGCCTCGCTTGACCCCTCCTTAATGTCTCGTTTTCTACACTAAGGATTATGGTCACGGCCACCTTCCACTGATCGTAATGCGCTCTACTGGTTCACTGTTTTGCCCTGGCAGTGCGTGGGTTTTTGGAACTTCCTCGGCAAAACTTTCTTCTACAGGCATCCGCAAAACGAATGTCCATGAAACGTGAACATTCGCTCATCTGTATTGTCTCTGTAATATGCACTTCTTGTGTTGCCAAATTTGCCGCATCGCACAAACGTCACAACGTCAACTAAGGCTGTGTTCCAAGATTTACTCGATCTACTCAGTGTAAGGGTTTTGTACCTTTGCGTTCGAAAACCTACCCGCGTCCAGTGTCGCTCTATCTGTGTTATCACATGACACGACTGGCCGAAGTAGCTCGAATCCATTTTGGTAAGATTTTGAACACAGCCAAAAGTGGTTGTTCAGAATGCTCCAAGAGCTCTGGGCTTTCGCTACTTGTTAAAGATCCCCAGGTGGTTTAAACCAATGGCCTTCAATAAATTGGTTCGTAACCGCTCATCGAGGCGGCATACACTCATTCATTATGTGCGTCCCTGTGCACGGTGCGGTACCATTGGTGCAAACAATTGTTGCCGGGTTTGCTTGTTTTTCTCTTTAAATAAAACACCTGCCATAAAACCTGCTAGCGTGGTGGGAAGTTGTTCATTCAGGGCACCAACCTAAGCAGTAAAGTGCTTGGCCCACTCATATCTTCGTCTTTTCCTCATTCTTTGCGTTAACTGTTTTCACAAAGTTTATCCTGCTAGTTTGACAGTTAATTTAGGACCACCAATGCTCTATTCCAATTAAATGCAAAGAAGTGCATACGTTGTGCTCGCGCTAACACTCAGACAAACAATGGTGCTGGGAACCAAATTTTTCCCCACAGAAGCACATTTCATTACGCTACAGACTGTTTAGCCTTACAATGAACCTCAGGGGAAAATATGAGCCATCTCGACCGATCCGGCACCGTGAATATGTTACGTGTCTATGTGCCTTGCGCGCCGCTGTGCCCCTCTCCGAAGGCCATGTGACGCTTGCGCGTCGCAATAAATTGGCTTGGGCGGCTCATACCATCCACTGCTGTCTGTCGTAGAGTGAAACAAAGCACAGTAGTTGCAGTACCACTCTCCAGCTCCACAAGAAAAGAGGGGAACTTCCACAATCCCACGTTTGCAGCCGCAGCGTGCCCCGGGCAATAATTATTAAAGGAAACTGAAGCAGTGCTGTATGTGAGAAAAAAAAAAAAAAAAAAAAACACTTAAAAATACTTTTTATTTGGCCTCCGGGATCATGATTACCGAAATTATATTTACAATCAGTGCGCCAAGTAGCCACGACGGTGCCTTCAAATAACACAGAAGCCCCTCCTTCTCGGTGCATTTGGTGGTAGGTGAGAATCGCAATGTATTATGCGGACATCTCAATATTTCTGCGCCTTCTGCAAACCTTAGCCGAGCACTGAAGGACGCTGTGTTCCTCACAAGCGGCATGCGCAAGGCAGTGAAAACTGGGTACGACGTTGCACGCGGCGGTTGGTTTTTTCTTTTTTGCTCGCGTCTGTCAGTGCGTTCGGGTAAAATGCTGGCGACATTTGAATTCCCAAGACAAAAATGTGCTATAAATCCCTTCTAACTCATTTTGTTGAAGAGCCTCTTTAGCTTCGCTTTGAGGCTGGTTCACGCATTTGCATTTGAGTGTTGTTGAATGCACTGCGCTCCTTCCAACTGCCTGCGGCGAGCAAACGTACTGGCACCATGTATCGGGTACTGCACAAGCACTTCGACACTTGCTCATATTTTTTATAATTTTTGATGCATCATTCTTTGATTGGGGGCTTTGAAGTGATCCTGGCAACGTTAGAAGTGACAGTTTCTCATAAAAGGTGCATAGATTTGTTCTCTGAATTTCTGAGAAACCTTCGGTCTAGTTGTATGCGGGGCCAGGAGTGTTCACAGGACTACCCAATAGATAGTAGGTGCCAGTGCTCATTGTAGGCAGTTAATGTAACACACATGAGCCGCTCAGGTGATAGTGTTTCAACCAGCCTTTACCTCGCGTGCCTAACGCGGCCTTTCCGCTGATAAACGCCGCCTCTCACAGAACTTGAAGAAGTCATGGCACCCGTCGACGCTGCGCAACATAGAGCGCGTCTGGAAGGCGGAGCAGATGCGGGACCAGGAGCGGGCCAAGATCGAGCAGCTGCAGAAGGAGCTGGAAGAAGAACGCAGCAAGCAGGAGATGCGCCAGTATGCCGAGAACAAAGGAGTCGTCAAGTAAGTCGGCACCCCTTAGCGCAACTGCCACAATCTCCATACCCTGGCGGACTCCCACGTGTCTCTTAACCTTACAAGTGCCACGTTCTGTTTTTCCGCGTGTCGAACGCAAATTTGGTTCCCATGCAAAAAAACTGTGGCATGTTTTATGAGGTATATTTAATTATCAAAGACACACTGGTCCACGTGCTCAAAGTTCATTGTTGGCTGCGTGCCTCCAACTTAGGAAATTCTTAACAAATTACGCTTTTAGAGACACGGTACTGTACAAAGTTCCTCCTTGGCCTTGCTCCCTGGGGTCACTCTTTTCGAGTGGCCTTGATCAACATTTTTCTTTTTCATTTAGATCTTGGACTTTCTTATTTAGATGGTTACTAAATTTGTTTATTCCTGATATCTACATCTCAGTGTTCACCATAAAGTGCAAGGTTGAATGACATAGATTCGCCTTCCTAGAATAGGGAAGGATCAAACCGAGACGGGAGTCACCCTAAACAAAACTTTCTATGTGCCGTCAACAGGTGTTATTACGAGAAGTATTGCTCTATGAAAATAAAATTGACAGCCCAGTTGGGAGTTAGAAAAGGTGGGGAGCAAATGGAAACTGAAACCTGCATGAATGCCTAGCCGAGTATACTCGGACATGGCACTCAAAGGGCTGACGTACAAGGCACGACCCTCATATCTTTTTAAAGTAGTGGTTTTCAGCCGCTTTTTTTTTGGGGGGGGGGGGGGGGGGGGGGGGGAGGGGACTCCTGGATCGACGGAAGTGGTGGGCAACCCCGTCTACATGGTTGTATTAGGGTATTGAACGATTACAATGAAGAAAACTAAATGCGTGCAAACTAACTTCGAAGCTCCAAAAATGGAGAATTATCTACCCTGCTCACCCGGAGCATTTGGTTCGGCCTAGTTATCTTCGTGGGGCAGCCAACATCAATAAAAAAAGAAAGTTTGACGATTGACGGTTGAGGGCTTCAGGGACCCTGAAGTCCAATGGTTCTCAACCAGTGATGTTTTGGGGAGCCCGTCTGGGTCAGCGAAAGTGAAGCGGGCACCCCATCCGCCGGAAAGAAGCAGTTGCAGATCCAGGATGATAGGCGATTACGATGATAAAAAGACTAAATGCGTGCAAGCGAACTTCGAATTTCTGAAACATAGACCGATCAACCCTACTCACTTTGTGCACATGCGATACAGTCAGCATCAATTTTTAAAAAACATATTTATTGTTTGGTTGAGGGCTTCGGGAACCTTAAGAAGGCCTTCAGGGACTCCAAAGGTTTCGCGGACACCCATTTGAGAACCACTACCATGGGGTCTATGAATCCCTATTTGGGAACTACTGCTTTAAAGGAACACTCAACTCCCAAAAAGTGTTTTAAATGTGTAGTACGTATAGGTCCAAGAACTGTGCCTTACACTTTACAACGTAAGGAGCGAAAAAAAAATATATATATTCCACCTCACGCTCTGTGCGCCTCAGCTGTAAGTGGAAATCGCGCACCTGAACCGTCGTTTGACTGAATCTAGTTTAAAGTTTTTCGGGTATCTCGGACATTTTTAAGAAGGGGAAAGTCTCACCAGAGTCTCCTACAAATAAACTAACCCGTTTTGCCGCAGAAAGCGCCAAGAGCGCCTCGACTGGATGTACCAGGGAGTGGCCGGTCTTGTGGACCGTGACCAGTACCTGCTGGGACGCAAGGTCGACAAGAACTTTGAGATGCTCAAGAAGGAAGAGGACGGCGTCAAGGAGGAGAACCCTGGTGAGTCCATTCTTCTACCTGGAGATGCCCGTGCTTTTCTATACCATATTTTCTGGTCAGCAGCCCCCAGTAAATGGCTGTTTTCATAAAAAAATTAATATACAAGGCATTTTTTTTTTTTATCAAATGCATGTTTTTTAAAATAAAAGCCGTAAAAGCTGCACAACTGGGGCTTGCGCAAGAGAGTTATATGGCCTGTTGGACATTAGGTTCAAGAGAGAATGCAACTAATACAGTGCAATCCACTTATAACGATACCACATATCACGATATACCGCTTATACACAAACTCATCTCTGTTACATCACGGCGCGGTGGTGGCGCGTCGGACGCACTTCCGGTCTGGGGCTGTGGGCGGAAGTGCCCATTTGAGACGTGTATTCCTGCGTTGTTTTGAAAGGAACCAGACAAAAACCTGCCTTGTCATCAAAATGCTGCGACTGGGGCTGTACCAAGAGAGTCGAGAGAGGTTTGAAGGTCAGTTTTCATGCGCTCGGTTCGTCCGAGAACGCGGATATGTGCCGTGAAAACGGAAAACCAGACGCCGTCGTACCACGATTGCTTGGGCGGGAAGCATTTTGGGTTAAATTCACGGATACTACTGGCCATCAAATTTATTTGTTTGATTCCAAAATGAACGCCGTAAAACCGTCAAGTTGTACGGACCACCTGCGGACTACGTTTAGTGCGTCTTCAAGTTCAAACGGTCGCCTGATCGTTCGAACTGTCGTCTGCTCTTTCTAACGTTTCTGCTTGTCGTCTGCTCTTTTAGAGGACACCGGCCCGTAGACCAAACGTGGGCCCGGTACTTGCGATAAGAATTAAGTGCAGGCCTTAAAAGACTTAAGTTTGAAGGTTGGTAAGCAGGCTTGACGTAAACAGTAGATACAAGGAGATGTTGATCATTGTTACCAGTGGCCATCACCGACTTGTTACGCCTGATTCACTTGGTTAGATTCTGCTTGCGATTTTCAGTATCGACGTCGACCATCTCAGCTACGGTTCACGTTTTTGCAGTCCGAGCGACGTCGCTACTGAAAATTGCGAGCGAAATCTCATCACGTGAATCAGGCTTTAGCGTACGTTCTGCGGCGTCCACGCGGAATGAATCGCCGCATGTCAGATTATTCACGCGAAGTTTTGCGGTGTAACGAGCCTCGTTAATTTCGCTGACGCTGCTCAAGTAGTCGGACATCGTTAGGAGGACGTAGAATCAACAGTTCCCACGCGAAAAAGAGCGCGGGAACTCACACCGGCGCCGACAACATCGCATTTCAATGGTTTGTTTATGGGCGACGGCGAGCTTTTTGCCCACACCCCCATCGCGCATGCGCGGCGCCGGTGGCGTCCGCTAGGGGCGCTCCGGGCGCTCCGGTTTGTTTGTAAACATGAGTTGGTGTATAACAATCAGTATATAGAGTTTCTAGACTAGGATTGACTAGTTCCTAGTCCTGATACAACAATAATTGGTTATGACGATTGCATTTTAGGGTTTTTTCATTATCGTTATAAGTGGATTGCACTGTAGATGACTGATTAAAGAAAATTCACTAATTAGGTTCTTCATTAGATGCTTTAGGGCACATGTTTGTAGTCAAGAAATGGAGGCAATCAATGTTGAAGGCCGGCCCGGTTTTTAAAAATCCTGGATAGGGCATTATTCGTTGTGAAATTTTGTCCTGGAAATCTTTCGATACCGAAATTAAACGTGCAAATGCCTGTTAGAAGGACAACCCTTATCTGGTGCCTGAGGGTCATGTGTTAGTGACGAAATTTGCATCACTTTTGCGCCGCATTGTATCTAAGCACTAACTTTTTGTTGAGTGGTTTATGTTCAGGCTGTTTTTTCACCTTACATGCACCCATGATTGAAACATTTTTCAGTGATATTGCTCAGCAAAGGAAAGCAACTTCTTGCTGCCAATTCAGTCGCTTGTCGCTTTAGTTTGCCAGTCACGGATCTCCGACTGCAATCAGCTCCAGCGCGCTGTGACGCAAAATAGTGACTCATATTTCGTCATTAACACGTGACCCTTGGCGTCAAACGAGGGTTGTCCTTCTGGCAGGCATCGTGCGTTTGGTTTCGGTATTGACAGATTTCCAGAACAAAATTTCACAATTAATAACTTGAACTGCGTGCTCAATCCAAGAGTTTTAAAAACTGGGCTGGCCTTCAACATTGATTGGTTCCATTTCTTCAATATAAGCATGCGTCCTAAAATGTTTAGTTCAAAAAGAAATTAGTGAATTTTTGTTAATTTGTCATCTATCAGTTCCATTCTCTCTCGAACATAATGTCCGCCTTGTCTTATAACTCACTCGCACAAACCACATCTGTGTAGCTCTCACGGCTTTATTTCTTTTACAATCTGTATTCAATAAAAAGAACACCCTGTGTAGAGGGAGCGCACAGTGGTTCTTAAATTATAGAACAAGCCAGAGCTGCACAAAGAAAGCTCAAACTTTCACCGAATGTGCCCTGCGGTGGTCAGTATTACCTCGCGAAATTTCGGGGCGTACGGTAGTTGTCTTCCTGTAAGAAATGTGACCGACAAACTTGCCAAAGTTAATGGCGGTCGTGTTCACAGATGACCGAGTTAGTGACGAATGTGAGTTGTGGCACCCTTTCTCGACGGGCGCAGCGAGCAGGCAACAGAGCCTGTGACTTCATCTGGCGTCTCCTGTGTACGAGAGCACATGCAGTCGAGATGTGGGATGGAACCGCGTGCTGTCGCAGCAGTGCAGGCCTGCAACACCACAAAAACGACGTTAGCCTCGACGACATAGTACCAGAAAGTTGACAGTGCTGGCGAGGAGCTTGCTATATAAGGCTCTCCAGCTTGTTTTTCCCAGACCTCAGTGTTTACACTAGGCCTGTGGACTTCATTCTTCATGTCGTCTCTTATGACAAAATGTGGGGCACGGGTTAACGTAAAGAGTCTTGACAATAAACAGTGACGTTGGTGGGACGCACCAGGTTGGATCTGTCCCAAAAGCAGTTGGAAAATGCGAGCTTGACTTACCTCATCCTTTGTGCTGAGCAGGTGCTGAAAACATTCACGGTGCATGCTGTGCTGCTCATGCAGAGAGGAGGGGCTACAAAAGGGCCCCTCCTTGGGCCTAGGGAGTATGCGCGTCCCAGCCTAACGCCAACACGGTGTTCGGCAACATTGGCCGAGCGCTGCGTCACTGCTGTTTTTGTGCTCGTGGGTGTAGTTTGGAGGTTAGTCACTCGGGGCGCAGCAATTGGATCATCCCCACACGAGAGTAGAAGATGAAGGACGCCCTGTACATCAAGTTCTGGTGCGTGCGTGCCACTTGCAGACCAGCAGCCGGGTGCGCTGTTCACCGTGGCGACGACTAGCGCCACCGTCGACCTGGAGAACAAGATACGGGAGGACCCTCTCTTTGCTATCAAGTAGGTTGGATCCCAGAATGGGAAAAAGCTCCGCACATGGTCGCTGGCAGCTCAAAGGGGCACTGACACCCCAAAGGTCTATTTTTTTTTTTTTTTGTCTAAAACAATGCAGGTTGTAGTCATAGACACGCAAAAAAAATAACACAATGTAAAAAACATTTTTCGCTCGCGCAACTGCTTTTTACTCTTTTTTTTACCTCCTCGCTTCTTTTAATTTGTGATGTAATCCATTATTAAATTTAAAAGCTTTGTAAACAACATTCCTACAATAATTAGTAACGCCATTCGCAAGACATGTTTTTGAACGCAATTGCGAACACACTACGGCCCTTATTTTTTTAAATATCGAAACTTGAAGTCCGGAATGGTGTCGCCTCCTGGCTTTTTGTACCCCCTCAAAAACATGGCGGCGCGACTGCGCTCGGCACATGTGGCATTGAGGACGATCGGTAAGTTGGGTAATCAGTCAAAGCTCTCTTTTTTACGTGCCCGACGACCTCTCACCCTGCAGACTTAGAAAAAGAAATCTTCAAACAGTCCGAATTACTGGGTTTGAGGCCTGTGTACAGTAGCTTCAGCTCAGACTCCGTCGGGGCACCCTTTCATGCAGAACCGGCGGTACGTGGCCCTCATGTCACTCACCAAAGCCCACTGCAGATTCTCTTCGACCTCACACTGTTTGAAAGAATTTGAGATCGCTGAAAGGGCCATAAAAGAACTTCAAACTCAAAAGTGGAGCGTCGTCTGCTCACAGCGATAGGCGGCACGCAAGCGATTGATCGCAGGATGTGGGTGAACACGACACCTCAGGTCGGTCCAAAGGCGTGAGAGAGACTCCAGTTGCAGGACGAGTCAATATTTGACGTCACTGCACTGGTGTGGATCGTGCGGTAACTTCAAATTTGGCTTTGGGAAATTGTTTTTTTTACTTCACAAATACCGAGTTCTGAAGTTTTGGATTTCGAGGGTAATGTCCAGGCATTGTTTTCATTCGTTTCGTATAATAAAAAAGAAAACGATTTTGACCTGTGAGTGCTCCTTTAAAGGGAAGCTGAAACACTTCTTGAAAAAACGAGCTAGAGGTGAATTTTGGCTTATTTTTATCGTGCGACCCTGTATATGAGATTTGTTTTCCCCGAAGATGTAACTAAACTCGAAAAAATGCGAAAAACCTGCGACCAGTCGTGACGTCATACTGGGGTCTTTGGCCGCCAAGCGCGTATCGTTTGTGTCGGCAGTTCGTGCAATTGCAAGCTTGCCAGGTATATTTCTTCTCACTGACCTTTTTGAAAATAGCAAGAGTGTGCGTGCATAGCTTTGACAGGCGCTGAAGATGCGCGAGACCAGAAATTCCAAAAACTCCAAGCGTGATGTCACGTCTTAAAAAGGAGGGGCTTTGGCGGCACTTTAAAAATTAATTTCTGCAGATTTCATGCACCAAATTGAAAAATAATCTCGATATTTGTGATCCTGGAGGCAAAATGAAGACAATTTAGGTGTTCTTTCTCAAATACAGAACCGCTTCGGTTTCCCTCTATGTCGAGATGCAGCAGACGCTACGAGCTGGTGGGACCAATGAGACAGCATCAAAAGTGCACCATCATGGTGTTCGGTGTGTTTCTGTATCTGTTTTATCATCTCTGAACCAATCATAAACAAAAAAAGCATAGTGAGTTGCACTCTTGACGCTGCTTGAGTGGTTCCACTACCTCGTAGTGCCAGCTGCTTCTGAAATTGAGTTGAAACGGGGGGTATAAAGCTTCAACTGGCGCTATACTCCGTTTCACCTTCCGTCCGAGCACAGCGGACGCTAGGAGCCATTCCAGCCAATGCGGCGTTGAGAGAGTGTCATGCGACCTTGAGCTCCCTGTGTCGCCCCGCCCCACCGGCAGGTCACGCGACTTTCTCCCGGCGCTGGATCGGCTGGGATAACTCGTGGCGTCCACTGCGCTCGGACTGAAGGTGAAACGGAGTATAGTGTCTATGTGATTTCAAGGATGCAGATTGAAGCAGAGAGCAGCCAGTTTACTTCTGCGTTGTTCCTGTGCATTCTTATGCAGTGATGTGATTGCTGTGCCAATAGACTACTTCCATAAAGCCCTGCATGCAACACGGCGCGCATTGCACTCTGGGAACTAGTTGGCCAGGGAGGAGAGTGCCATGGTTTCGGTTTCGATCGACACGACGACAAGAGATTACACACCGAGCATGGACTATTAACGGCCGTTATCTCATGTTTTCTGGCCCCGAGAGCGGCATTGGTGGTTTCTAAACTAACCTAGATGGTCAGACCTCGAAGCTTTAGCACAAGCCCGAGACGTATAGCTTGTCTTAAGACATGCTTGTTGTATTTTTGTACTTAGCCATTCTGTTAGCATTTCGAGGTATGTGGACGAGCCAGTGCTGGGAGTGCTGGGAGTGGGAGCTCGGGAATCTTGCTTGTGTACGAATCAACAAGCTGTAGACACCAATAAGTATGCATACATCGAGCTCGTGCCTTTACATTAGTGATGTTGATCAGGAAGTTTGTTTCGTGCGTCCATAGACGAAATATAACTTTTTGCAATTATCGATTTTCTTAATACGCCTGTGTACGCGTGGTAAAACTCAGAGGTGCCATTGAATTATAACACACGTCTTTTCTCTTTTCTGTACTGACCCGCAGCATTGCACGAAGCGAAGCTTTCCCCACCCATTTGCATTTTACTAATATTCAACGTCGCGTATGCGCGTAAAGTTATCCTGCAATCGTATAGGCACATTCGCGCATACAAACCGTTTTAAGAAAGCAAAAGTCGAGCACTTGTGTGAAAAATGTCGCATTATTCGCCAGAAGTACGCCGGACGGGCATGAACCCCTATGCGGTGCGCCAAACAAACGAAATTATTCAAAGTGCATTTGACGGTTGCTAATGTCCATAATATGTGTTATGTGTTTGCTTTCTTCCTGCCTGAGTATGCCGAGATAATTTCAGACACACCGTTCAGGTACAGATCTTCGGCGTCAGTAAAAGCTCGTCCAAAAAGGCTTAGCGAGGAGTAGGGGACGCTTGTTAAGGCCTCCGTCGTAGCTAGCCGAGGCTCAGCGTTTGCGAAAACTTAATCTTCTATCAGCATAAAATATGACTGGGATATATGTGATGACACGAGGACGACATCATAGTAACTTTGGCGCAATAGTGAGGTCGAATTTATTGTGTTTCCTTAAAAGTTCATGCGTCAACGCTGGGCTCAACTTTGAAACTCCTGTGAGGATGCGGCTTGCTTTTCGCCCAATGAAGTAACAAGAAGCGGACGTTTGGCAAACAAAATACGTGTAATGCTCCAGGTGACCGAATTTCACTTGTAGTTCACTGGTACTAGACGGGATTATTGAAATTGGACTCAAAGATGAGGTGACTAAGCCACGTCTTACTACGTTTGCATACGCACTCATAATATCCGGTGTTTCGGGAACCAAGGAAAGTGCCCCGGCCTTCGTTTTGTATCGCTCGAGAATGAGTGTATTGTACATTCGGAAAAAAAGTCAGATAATCGAAAACGCAAGCAGCGCGTTCGGTCGCGGCGTGATAGCATGAGATGAATCTGCTCAGTCGAAACCGAAACTGAGTGGCCAACTAGTTCCCAGAGTGCACTGCGTGGTATTTCGCCGCATTGGGGCGCGTCGGTTTTGGAAACAGTCCATTGTGCCAAACTGCGCCAAGGGTCTAACACTGCTACATCCTGCTACATTTTGCCAAAATATGGGTAATCTGTGCCCGGCCTGCGCCAAATTACCAGTTTTGATCGCCTTTCAACACCGAAACTAAACTGAGTACCGCGATGAGCACACGTGAGCTAGGTGGTACAAGCGGCCAATCGTTCAAGCGTGGTTCATCCGGTCTTTTTTTTTTTTACTTTTTCAACGATAGACGCGGGCATGTGCGGACGCTCCGACACTAGCGTGCTGGGTACCAGCCATGCCATCATGCTGTGAAACGAAACCACGTTTTTGCTTGGCGGGAGTTACTTTGTCAGCTGAAGCACTTGCTTCTCAAAGCAACGGCCGTGGAAAAACTATATTTGGTCTCTGCTTTCAAGTTGCCGTGGTCGCGCGCCGTCAAGTGTTGCCGTCGCCACGTCGCTGCAGATATGGTGCTTTCTAAACTGAAACATATGGACCGCCCTAATGTTCATCAATATTCTTGTTTAATGCGCTACTACAAAAAATCCCTCTTGGTCGAAGACTGTTGTGTCAAAGTACTGTTGACCTAGGTTTCTCTCGGTGGGCTTTCTTTCGAGGGGGACCCCGGTACCTGAAAAATCTGCCGTGAAAGAAAGTTGGTGAAGAGAAGTGAGCTAAAGCAAAGAAGGCAATGTCTGAACCCTCAAAGCGCGTTTGTTTGTCTCGAGTTCAGCTTAAAGCGCTCCGAGAACTTTTTGACCCTGGCTCGTAATGTCTTGCATCAATGTTACAGCTTTTTTTTTTTTTTTTTTTTTTTTTTTTTTTTCTTAACTTTGTGTTTAGCTTGTATTTTGCCAGCCAGTCTGGCAAGCACGTACGGCTGGACTGTTTTTTGTCGTATGCTCGACAGTTACATTTTGTGTACAATTTTGGAAACCAGTTGGCGACGGAGCAGGGTGGCATGGTTTCGATCAAACAGCCATCTCCGCTCACGTGACGATTTCGCATTGCACTGTGGTGGTCACGTGTATCGACAGTTAAGAACTGCTTCCATTTATCATATAACTAGTCAACCTAATGTTGTAATATTTAATACTTAGTTGGTCATTTTGAAATAAATTTTAATATGTGCAGCTTGGTTCTTATTTACCTGTAGCGGGTACATATATATGTATCATTTAACTGAAGCATTGCAAAATGTGGCCTGTCATTGGCATTTCAGTTAAATGTTGAAAGACTCCCAGGTAGTCTAACTTTAGTATAATTTGTTTACTGCGGCGAGCAAAGTGTCCCTCGTTTGTCCAGCACTTGAAACAAATATTTTTATTTTTCTAAGAACATCAGCTCCAAAAGCCATTTTTGTTGCTCCGAAACACTGTATTAGCTGCTCCAAAGTCCACTTTTGCTGCTCCAAAACACTGTTTTGGCTGCTCTGAAAGGAGCTCCAAAACGGCTTAAGCCAATCACATCACTGTTATGGGAAAACGCACGTGCATCTTATCTCTTTGCCGGAAGACAACATGGATCACTTTTACAGCATGAGCTACACTGGCCGAGGTTGAACAGTTTCGTGTGGCTCCCAAAGAGCCGCGCTGCGCATGCGCGAGGTGCAGTGACGTCACACGGCGCACGCCTGGTGCGCCATAGCCGCCGCCGCGCGTGCCTTGCCGGTCTGCGCATTGCAGAGGAGTGACGTCATAGCCGCGGCAGACGCACTGGCGCCGCCGCGTGCCCAGCTGTCTGCCTCCGTTGTGCAGTAGCCAAGTCTGACGCTGCACCGGAGCTGCTTGATAGCGCCTCTCATTTTGTGTGCATAAGCTCACACTACGTATATCCTGACATAGCCGAGCTAGGCCATTGCATTTTTTTTTATCATTAGGGCCTTACCTTTTATTATCATTGTAAAAGTGTAATTGCTTTAGTTGCAGTATTTTTCTTCACCAGTGAACGAGGTTAAACTTCGCTACATTTAAGGCCCAAGCCTCAGCTCCATAGCAGATGTGTAAAAGCAAGTGAAGATTCTAAACAAAACAACTATTGAAAGAAATGTAGAGCGTGTTCAAGGTTTGTTAGTATTCTAGTGGCACTTACTTATTGCTAATATGCCAGTCCTGTCGCATATATGAAAATTACCCCGTTGTGCACCTTTATGAGCGGTTAAAAACATTCAACACATAAAGCGTAACGTATTTGGGCTTTGAAAAGTGTTTCTTTTTATTTCTTACGCCAAGCAGCTTCCACCGGGCATCTGTTCTCTGGCTTCTCCCTATTTTCAAAGATTTTGAGTTTGCGGGTGATGCTTTGAACGCAGAACAAGCATCTTTGCACATTTGCACAAGCATAGAGAAAAAAGCAGTATTTATTTGTTGCAAATGGGACTGTATTACTTGACCTTCACTTTATGCTGATTGTGTACATGAAGGGGGAGTTGCTAATCCAGTGTTACTGCATAATTCTTTTTTTCCCAGATGTCCTTTGTTTGTTTGGCACATAAATCCCCCGTGCAGAAAGGCACCTATGCCGTGTTGCCGCTAACAGTGTCCGACAGTGCACATAAATGCATGTACGGAGCTATCTTAGCACTGTGTTTAAAGTCACAAATTTGAAAGAACAAAAATAAATCCCTAACTGACAAACAAAAACAAACATTGTGCAGTACAGCACTTGTGCTGCAAGAAAAGTTTCGAGTTGAGAATGGTACAGGAGCATGCTTCTTTATCAAGTCATCAACCCAGATATAGCCTGTTTAAAAATTTCTTAAATGAGCCTCGTATAAAAAAATATTGTAGTAAAATTTTCTTTTCCCCTTTTGAGAAAGAATTATATTTTGTGACGTATGTGTCCCACCCAGGCACTAAATACAAAATAAATGCTTTGTTCATGCTTTTTGTTTTCTGATTCGCTCTTCGTCGTCGTTATTGGTGAACGCCGCACTCTCATTCGCCGCACGGTGACCATTGTTAGCCAGGTCTTGGGTGCCCAAGCATTTGTCTCTCCTCCTCCAGGAAGCAGGAAATGAAGACCAAGAAAACGCTTCTCAGCAACCCCGTCAAGATGAAGCACCTCCGGGACATGGTGAGTGGGAACCTGCTCCATAACCCTAGCGCACGAAGCAAAAGCTTGCGCTGCGGAAATTTGGAAACAGTTCTTCCGTGTTCAATACCCCGCCTAGCCCCCTGCCATTTCGATTGAGGTGCGTCGTGGCAGCACGCAATTGCCCGAACACTGTCGCAGGGGTGGCCAGGTGGACGTATGCAAAGAGCCGTAATAAAAAGGGGCGTGGCAGTTTCTTCTTTATTTTTATCATCTTGCGTGGCGTTTACATCAAATTTCATTCATAAAGCAATTGCTCATTCTGTCTATTTATTGTGCATCCCCATTCGTGAAAGAAATACCCTGTCTGATGTTTGTGTGGTGGCCCTGGGCCGCACAAATGCGACCTCTTAGTCTATATTTTTTCCGTCTGATTTTGCTGCAGGAGAGGGAAAGGGGGTGTAGGCTTGCTAGGGAGACACGAGCCCTAGTTGAACCCGCGAAGATTCGCCTTCTTTGGCTGCCCTTGTGCTATTGCATATTGCTCGTTAAGGAGCCCAAGTTGGCGGTCTTGTTGCACCCACTAAATTGCCAGACGACAGCGGAGTCAGCGTGCATCATTTCAGGGCTGAGTTCCTTCTGTTTGAACCGATATACAACAATCTTGATATTTTACCTTTTGAAAGGACGCTATTGCGTGCTTCCTTTGTGACTAAAACATAAAAATGTTATACAGGGTAAAAGAAAAAAAAAACATTATTTAGATAAGATTGGGAGACACAGAGTATGTAGCATGTTTGGAGCTGTGCTTTTCTGAGCTTGGGAGGCGGGCTCGATTTAGGCGTGACAATCCAGGTTACTGAAAAATTTAGCGGGAGACCTGAATTTGTGTAAAATTACATGCCAATTCAGTTCCCGTTCCCTAAACTGAGCGGGGAAGCGTTTTCAACTTAATTTAGCAAAATTTAGTCCATTAAATGTCTGCATAACACTTTTTTTTTTCTTAACGAGTCCCTAAACTTGTGCACGTTCTGAGTAAAGGAAGTTTTCGGAAACTTCTTGACTACTATCATAGTTTGCTAAGCCTAGCCTCGACTATCTGTGTTCCCGACAGATTGAGCAATCTCTTGAGAAGAAGAAAAAGAAAAAGAAGAAGAAGAGGAAGAAGAAGAGGAGGTCTTCAACATCCAGCTCGAACTCCTCCCCCAGGAGGAAGCACAGAAAGCACCACTCGGAGGCACGGACGAGACGCACCGAGAGTTCAGACGAAGAGGTGGAGGAGAAGCGGCCAAAGCCGATCGACATGCCCCATGGATTCGGACTGCTGGTGAGTAGCGTCCCTTCGCTACTTTCGGCGGTGGTGGTACCATGGTGTGAGAATCTTGCTCCCTAGTTCCTGGATGATCGGCATCACAATGATGGTGCTTGCTTACACATTTCTGGCGTTAAAGTATAAAGTAAGTCTCTGATATCGCTCGTATTTAACAACACGAAGATTATTTACGCGGTGCACGGCCAACCTCAAACTGCTCACCTACAGCGGTCGCCCGGATGACAGCCATTTTGATGGGTGCAAGTTCGCCCCATATAGCCGTGAAAGTTGTGAATGAGCTCCGAGATGTTCCGGTGGTGCACTCTTATGGTTTCTGTTTGTGATGTTACGACCGGGATGTGCCTTGCCGCGACGTCGCAAGTTGTGATCCAGGCTAAAGTCGCTGGACTCTGGGGAGGCAGTGCCGATGTCACCATAGGGTTGCCTTTCTGATCTACGGAATGAGCAGTTCGTCCTTTGACCTTTCCAGCGTTGGCAAGTTGGTCCAAATTTCCGGCAACGGGTTGCTTTAGATTACATTTTTCATTTACCGAGATTTCGTTAATTTACACGCCAGCGAAACAGCCGCACATCTTCACACTGCGAGCACACATGGCGTCAGTGCTTGGTGGCATTGGTATAAAATATGCGTGAAGAACAATATTATTCTAAGAGACCTGTGGAGATGAGCCAAACCAATAAGTTTATTGGATATATACAGTGCCGAAGACATTTTTATTGACAAGGAGTGCTTTCAGCACAATGATGCGCCATCACAATCTTGGCACCTGGTTCAGAATGACCTATTCGAAGCTTTGAAAGGACCAGAACGGCAATTGCCATGGCAACAGATACTGTTTAGCCTATCGCCTTACATTGGTTGTTGTCGTACTGAAAGCATTGTCAATAAAAATGTCTTCGGCACTAATCCAGGCTACTTATCGTCAGTAGCAAGTAACACATTCAATGGTGTGTGTAAAAAGCATAGTACGTGTGTGCACTTATGTGTGACTCTTAGTGTAACTCCGAAAATAGCCGTGGCTACCGAATCAATAAATAAATCAATCTGCAACAGAAACCAACATACCTATCACCTTTAGACTGGTCGTAATTCGTTGGCTCTTTCGGAGCTCTTTCGAAGCTCTTTCGCGTGCACCTTTTACAAACTTTTTTTTTTTTTTTGCGTTTTTTTTTTTTTTTGGTTTCAAAATGGTCAACATTGGCCAGTCGGGAAGCTCATTCAAGTGGACAGTATGGAAATGCATTCAATGACATTTATTATGAAACATTCAATTTCATTCATTATGAAACATTCAATGACCCTAGTTTCACCCTTCGCGGGATAAAGTCTGATCAGTTAGAAAATACTCCCTACCTCGCGAAACACTGTCTCGATGGCCGTCTGAGTAGGGTGACCACCCGTCCCGCGAATCGCGGGACTGTCCCGCATTGGGGGCTCGTGCCCCGCGTCCCGCAGGAAATTCCCAAATCTTCAAAATGTCCCGCATTTCAGATTGTCGTAAAACTCACTATGCAGCTTATGGCGCTGCCGGACAACGAGGCACAGAGAAAGGCGGAGATCGCTGGTGAATGTGTGAATCGCGATGGTACACCATTTTCTATCCAATCATCGTGGGAAGCGATCGTCGTTCTTGCAGGAGATCTGTCGCGCATGCGCCTTCGTGCTTCTCTTCCCTTGGTGGCAAAATATTGCAAGGGACAATTGCTCACCAAAAGTGGAAAATACATTATTTTAATTATTTTCAAATCGTGCTGCGTCAATGCGAAAAGGTTGCTGTGGAAAGTTTTTCTTTTTCTTTTTTAGTAAAGACGATTGATTACACAAGGCAAGAAGACTGCAACTCACAACGATCAAAAACAACAACGTAAAATTTGAATTTTGTGTAGGAGCATGTTGGTATAAATAGGAATCGAAAGGAAACGAGAAGCCATAAAAGATTTACTGCTTCTTCTGTCCTTTCGATGCATTGAGTTATGTTGCAGTCGATTTTATGTTTTCAACTCGGACAATGTCACTTGTAGTGAAAATTATTTGAGCTTAATTGCCGCAATACAATTTGCAGCTGTATAATATGCTTTCAGACAAGACAGGATATCAAATGTGCTAGCAGAGCCACATTTCGTGGCATGTGTTGATAAATTTCCTCAAATGGTTATTTTTTCCATTATTTTTTGTTTTTTAGCCTGAGGCTGGGGCAGAAGGTGGAAAAACAATGTTCCTCCACCTGCCCCAGTCTCGGGTTAAAAGGCAGCATGGTAAACTTCCATCAGTCCGGCTGCGCACTAAGTTCTTTTTTGCAGTTGCGACAGCCGAAATATATAGCCTTTCTTCTCTTACACCCCTGCCCCTTCCCCCTTCCCCTCCCCCAAGTTCAGCGTGTCCCGCATTTCGCTAGCAGGAAGGTGGTCACCCTACGTCTGAGCGTTAGCAGACAGCCATGTGCGACGCCATTTGTTGCCGCTTCGAGACCGCTTTTGATGTATGAATGGGATGCGACTCTAAAACTCGCCAGTCGAAGACGCATTCCGGGATCTGTATCCAGCTTCTAGCAGTGTCGGACAATGGCCTCATTCTTAATTCAATGCGGCTGTAAGTCATCCTAACCGGAAACAATATCGAGCAGTATTCACTTTCCCTTGCACCGAAATCCTTACATTAAAGGGGCGGTGCTACGATTTTCAGAGATTGGCCAATTAACTGCGGAAATTAATCTGCCACCCATGGAACGAAGAACAAAAAAACATATTTTCTTGCGAGTGCTAGTTTTTATAAAAAAAAAATTAAACAAATCGAAGCTCAAAGTGAGTCTCAACTGCCTCTCAACTCTCCACGTCACCCTTCGAGTGACATACTCTGGGGGATCACGTGGTTTCCCATTGGGATCTCTCTTCAGAGACCCCAGCCGTTTCCTCCGCGATTATTGACTTTTAAAGGATTACCGTATTTGCACGAATATAACGCGACCACGAATATAACGCGAGGGCAGGTTTTGATGCCCTCAATAAGAAAAAAATATTTTTATTTATACTTTTATAACAGCCGAGGCCGCGTCAATTGCTCGCAGTCGGGGGCATAGCAGAAGTGAAAAGTCAATGGAAATAGAAGAAATATCGGTTTATGTTTTGACTGCACTCATCCTCACTGCTCAGGTCCTTCTGTTTACAATCCACTTGGCGACTACGCAGATGAGCAGCAGCACAGCACGGCTTGTCGGGTAGCTTGTTTTTCTTCGGCGTGAGCTCCTTGGCATCCACCATCCAAGCAAGGCACGAAGCAGAAGCACCAACACACAAACACCAAGACCATTCTGCAGCAGAAACTAAAAATGTGCAGGCAAAAAAATACTGCTGAACCAGATGCACAATTACACTTCTTATTCCTGGCCTCTCCGCATAAACGAACTCCTTGTGTTGCACGATTGTATAAACACCGTCGGTGGTCTTGGCTTGGCTTGTGTTGACTTGACTTGGCCTAGCTTGGTTTGGCCAGTGCCTGCATTTCCGCATGGTGCGCACACTGGGTTTCTGCGGCGTGCGCGCGTTGTACAAACAGAAAAGCTATGAAAATGTTTTTGTATGTTTTCTATTTGCCCCTTCACGTGGCCTAATAGCTAATCAATTCCCTCCGATATCCCCCCTTCTTTTCCCACCCGATCTCCTGCATTGAGCAGGAGGGATGGCTTTCTCCAGACTCGCACGCCTCGTGGCTGAACTCAATTCCGAATATAATGCGAGGTGCGTTTTGGAGCACGTAATTCCGAAAAAAGACTTGCGTTATATTCGTGCAAATACAGTAGCATCGTCGAAGGTTGCAGCGAGTGATCGACACAAAAGACGGTTCACCACGAGGAGGACGACGAGTTCAGCAGCGGAGGGGGACAGGTTTTGTTCACTTCTGCGTATCCCCCAGAGTATGTCACACGTCAGTTCCATTAACAACCACAAGTGGCTGCAGATCGGAAAATATTTTGTTTTCTTTTTTGCGATTACGCAATGAAATAGCAGTTTTTTGGGGCACGGTGACACATTTTTGGTCACTTGTGCTTGGATAAACAATATAATGAATACAAACTGCCAATTGTCTTAACACTAAAATCGTTTCATTACCCCTTTATTTCTTAAACTGGCTCAATTTCATTGTCTTCGTAAAAGCAAACGAGGCTGCAGTGTTGTCGGCAGCTTCTGCCATTAATATCCTCGGTGAAGCACCAATGCTTATGCCTCGCAATAAAAAAAATGCAAAAAATGAAGCATTGAGTGCTTGAAATTACAGGCTCTTACCAAGCTTTATTTTTTCTCGTCTCTAGGTGAGGGGCAAGCAGCCAGCGGAACGACCTCGACAAGAGAAGCCGGCACGGCCGATCCAGCGTCAGGAGAAGTCACAGAGTCCCCCTCACAGACACAGGTGACTTCTGACATTTTTCGTTGCCCTGGTACCGGACAAAGTGATGGCCTTTGCATCTGAGCACACTACCCTCTTTCCTAAATAAAGAAAGGCATTAGTTCCTGTACCAGTGCACGCTCTGTGTGCGTTTCTCGGAAAGCTGCGAGCATGAGATTCTTGCTTCTTCAGATCTTACTGCTACGTGAATAGATCTACGTGTACGAAAACAGTCTTTCTCATTTTTGTGTTTTTTTTTCTAGTTTTATGCGCTGCAAGTTATTTCGGCATTTGTGGCTCTACAGGCCACATTGCCAAGCTCTGAAGCTTAGGCCTCGTTCCAAAGCTCAATCACATAAAACCCCTTTTTGTTTGAGTTGACAGTCTGTGGGCTTCTAGTTGTATTTTAAGTATCTTATCTCTGGTTTGGAGAGTCGGGTTACTTCCTTGCCGAGCCGGTGTCACAATAAACAAACATTCGAAAGAAGTCTAACTCTTGCCGCATTCACTCTTTTTTGAGCGAGTTGAAACTTGGTTGTGCCAGTGTACAAATAGCCCTCAACCACTTCTGGTTCTGAACTAGATGGCGGGTTTCACGGTATTTGCGAAATCAAGTATACACGCCCTCTTATGGAAATGGCCACTGATAGCACCGTGAGACTTCATTCACTCTTACGATAAAAAAATTATGTGTAATAAATTACTAAATATGCATTGACCGGAAGTGTGCTGGGGCTACCCAATAGATGACACCACTGAATATGTGGCCATACAAAAACGGGTGAATTCTGGAAATCCTGGAATTCTTGAATTCTATTAAAAAAGTGAAAGCCGTTTACAAGTTCCTGTAACGCCGAATTGGAGCGCAGCTCTTGAGGAGGAGGAGTGGAGGGTATATTCCTCCTCCTCCCTCGTGATCATGCCTGCTAGTCCTCCTCCCCTCCTGCTCCCCCTCCCTCTCCTTTACCACCTCCTCGTCCTTCAAGCTCCTCCCCTCCCCTCGCCTCCGCCTCCTCGTCTCTCCTCCCCCCCTCCTCCACCTTCGTGACCCCCCGGACCCGGCAGAGGTCCGGAGGGTCACGTGACCTCGAGGGGACGGGATCACATGACCTTGGGCGGGCCGTCACGTGACTTCGGCGGGGGGAGGGGAGTCACCCCCCCGGGGTCACGTGACCTTGGCGGGGGAGGAGGGGGAGGAGGAGGAGGGGGAGGGGCGACGCCAACGCCGACGCCGCACAGGCTGGAAACGGGTCATGTGATCCCCTCCCCCCGAGGTCATGCGACTCGCCCGGACCATACTACACAATGAGGGGAGGAGGGGAAGGAGGGGCAGGAGGAGGAGGGGGAGGAGGAGGAGGGGAGGAGGAGGAGAGGGAGGGGCGCGGTTACGCCGACGCCGACGGCGACGCCGACGCCGACGGCGACGCCGACGCCGACGGCGACGCCGACGGCGACGGCGACGCCGACGGCGACGGCGACGTTGACGCCGCTCAGGCTGGAGACGGGCCCCTAAGAGCTGCGCTCTAAAAAAAAAGGGAAAGTTATTACGGGCTTCCCTGGAGCCTGCAATGGTTTCAAAACACAGACTGACATCTCCGCCGTTCTTTGTGGAGCACAGGCGGCGGCCCCTGAGCGAGCGTGAGAAGGAGGAGGCTCGCCGGCAGATGATGGACAACGCCCAGTGGCGGGACGAGCAGCGCAAGACCATCATCTCCCAGTGTGACCGGAACGATGCCAAGAAGGGTTCCGGCCACGGCTTCCTCAGGCGAGTGTACTCAAGGTGGCTCTGGTCACCATCCGGTTGAGTTTGGAGGCGCTGCGTGGATCTACTAGTGATGACGTTTAGGGGGAAAGGCACTGGTCTTGTCTGCTAAATGGTATTAGTTAAGGCAACTTGGAGTAACCGAATGTGCTCTGGTTGCAGAGTAGAATATTGCAATGGCCTGCCCCATGGGGTGTGTTATAGGGACGGGTTTTGCGAGGAAAGCAAGATGTTACGCTCGAGAGCAACACATAAGGTGACGTCACATAAGCAGTATATCCCCATAGCAGTTATATTACTTATGTGACTCTGACTTCAGCTTCAAGTCACACCTTGGCATTATGTGACACTCATGTCATGTGACGCATCACGGTGTCACATGACGCTATGACCGCACAATGTCAGGTGACATCACATACGCACAGAGCATCCAGCTCATTCGCAACACATTTCGTGCATCTAAGTTTGTCAGATACGATCGAGGCACGCTTAAATTTGATCCAAAGCAGCGTTCTCTCTCAACCCTCTCCCTTTAAAGCATTGTGTGGCGTAGCATGTGTAGTCGCCGTCTGCTTGTCCTTGTATGATTTTTGAGCATGGTATCCCTTTCGCACCACAAAAGGAGTTGGCGGCGAAAGGAAGCGGCATGTGCTGCTCTGGCTATTCTATTTAGTTACTTTGGAGTTACTGTGCTTTGTCTGCATCTGCCTGACAGCAGCCTTAGCTGACACCATGTCGGTGCAGACAAGAATGAAGCACAGCAAATTGTGAGCACTGGCATCGCTGGTCCTGAGAGAAAGAACAAGAAAGAGCTGGAAAAGTGTGTCTGTTGTGCCGTGATGCATTGAGCCTGCTCAATCACTTGTCAGCTTCAGTTTTTGTTAATATAATGCATGACAGACATATTTTCTTGCAAAAATGAAATGGAAGAAAATAGGTCACCTCGATTGTTGAATGTAGACAGAGAATTTGAGGGTGAAGTCCACCTCAAATTGTGTGTCGAAAAAGCCTCCCTTTCTTGGTTTTGGGAGGAGGCAAGATTAGCAGACTACACCCTACACCCCATTCCCATCTGTGCAGGGTGTAAGATAGACAGGTGGGGAAACGAGAGCCAGATGAGCGACCGGATTGTGTCCCCCTCGGTTTTCTCTTTTTTGTGGCGCCATCTTTGTGGAGCATTGCGAACTCTCACTCTGGGTGGGCGACCGGTGGCGACCGGCTAAACTGACGGAGATGGTTTCTCATAGATTTTCAATGGAGGACTGTCGTGCTCTAGGTTTAGTTTGCGCACTTTCCCATAGAGTTCCGTGCAAATCCGATTCCGATTTTTTTCTTCTCGCCGCAGTGCCATCTGTCGCAAATCGGCGGTACCCGCAGGCAGACGAGTACACAATCCGGTCACGGCGCTGCGGAAGGCTTCTATGGGCCGTTTCCCCATTTGTCTATCTTACACCCTGCATCTGTGCATGCTCGGCAGTTCTCAGTGCAGTTGGTTGTTATGGCAACTGAGCCAGCTCAAAAGTCCTTCGTGGCAATGCACCTTATCCTTTCTGACCAGCCTGGGTAGTGGAGGCACCATGAAGTGTGGTGTTACCGTGGCTGCTGAAGCTACCATGCAGTCGCTGGGGTGGCAGTTACATTTTTTGTTATTTGTGTCGGTTGCTCCTTGTCCTCTGTCTAACAAGGCGTTCGCATTGCAGGCCCCTGTTGAGCCAGGCAGCCGACTCCGGCAGCGTGCATGGCCGAATCAAGCAGAAAATGAACAGGGTTCAGCGTGGCAGCGACGCAATGGACACTCACTTTGCGCGCAAATAATAAACAAAATATCTGCTCCAAGATTGGTCTTCAATGGGTTTGTTTGGGACTGCGCCCTTGCAATACTGTGATGCTCGAAAATGTTGCCGGAGAGGAGTCACTATTCAGTCGTTCTTTTCGCTACATCTAGTTACCCCCAAAAATGGTACAAAAAAAAAAATGTAAAAAAATTTGCAGCTGTATTTCGATCTGTGGATCAAACCGTCACATGTAGAATTACATTCTATGAGGAACACGGCTGACAATAAGTCCACTCTTGGCCCTCCAGGCACACAACACTGTGTCTGTACTCCGTCCACCTTACATCCGACCACATTTAAAAAAATCTTTGTCTCAACCAACATGGTTTTTGTCAACACACTCTACCTAGGGTCACATCCCGTGGGCAAGTTGATGTTATTTATTTCGATTGCTTTAAAGCTGTTGATCTCGTAGATCACAAGTTGTTACTCGCCAAATGTTCAGCGTTGGGCATTACTAGCTCTTTTTGTAGTTGATTGTTTAGTTATCTTGGCGGAAGACCTAACAGAGTGCTGTATGAAAGGTGTTTTTCTGCCTCATGTTTTAAATACTGGAGTGCCTCAAGGGTCCAACCTGGGGCCGTTGTTATTCAACATTTTTGTGAATGATTTGGTAGACAGTGTGCAGCATTCAAAGGTGCTGCAGTTCGCAGATGATGTTAAGATTTATTGCGAAATTCATTCAACTACTGACTGTCTAAAGATGCACAACGATGTTCAGGCAGTTCTAAACTGGTGCTCGAAAAATAATTTAGTACTTAACCCCAGTAAGACGAAGGTTGTTTCCTTTACCGGTAAGACAAGCTGCATTTAGTATCCGTATACCATGTTAGGTTCAGCTACAGCGAGGTCCGATACTATTCGTGACCTGGGAGTGCTGTTTGATTTTCGCCTTTCGTTTACTGAGCATGTTTCGAAAGTTGTGAATGATTCTTATCAGACGCGAAATTTTCGTACTTACGCTTGCATGATTCGTCTATTTCGCGCCCTTGTTTTGCCTAAACTTGAGTTCTGCTCAGTCGTGTGGAGCACCATTGGATTGACTCAATCATGTATTTTAGAAAAAGTGCAGCGTCGTCTTGTGCGTATTGTTGACGATCGATGGGGATTGGGAGGCGCATTTATTTTGAATATGAATACTTACTTAAAGGGGCGATGCAACGATTTTTGTATTTTGCGCAAAAACCGCTTAGAACGGATCCCTGACGTTAATGACCTGTGAAATACCTGTTCGTTTTTCATCACACGCAATCGAAGTCGCAGAAAAAAAAAAATAAAGAAAACGAGCAGAGTTCACCCCCTCAACTCTCTGCCAGAACAAGCGGCCACGTGATCTGGAGCCGATTATATGCCGCCAATGCTGATCACAGCCACGCGCTGGGGTTGGCAAGGCACAGCACACGCGCGGAGTTCCAGACATTGTTATGGTTCGGCTTTTGTCGTCATTGCAGCAGTTGGACACAGGACACTACCCGAATGCTTCTCGTGCCATAGCTTATCACGAGCCCAAATCGAGTGTCCACGCCATGCCCGGGTCCAATCTATGAGCCGCATTCAAAATTCAAATATCGTCACTGACAGGGATGGGCAAAATACATGCAAATAAGTATCGAAATACAAATACAAAATACTTCGTCAAAAATGTATTTAATTACATTTCCAAAAAAGTGTTTAAGTACAAGATACAAACACAACCAAATGTATTTGATCTCCAAATACTTTTCGAAATACGGTACATTCCTTAAAATTTGCATCATCGACTTCAGGGCACCTGCAACGGGTTCCTGGGTATCTCATTTTAATTTTGCATCGCACACTCGGGAGTTAGTGTGCGAGGTTCTAGTTACGTAATAAAAATATAATCACAAAAAAAAAAAAAAAAAAAAAAAGTAATCAGCTTGGACGGAATAGGTGAAAAAAGTACAGAGCTTCACGCAGCTTTTTTTTTTTTTTGTCGATTACATTTTGGTATAGACCAACAAAGAACCGAGACGACAGAGACGCGCAGCATTAGCTAGAGAATTTTTTATTGCAACAACAAAAATCTGGATGACCCGCGGATTTAGAATGTTCGAGGCAAAAATCTGGATGGGAATCAGGCTGGAAAGCATCCAAACTTGTCACAGGCACTTATTTAGCCAGTCTGCCTGTGAACACAGATTTCGTTACTATTCTTGCCCTGGACTAGCACCGTAATCGCAACTAAACGCTTGTGCTTGATTGACAATAAATTTGAGGAATGTATTTTCGCCCACAAAATTGTATTTAATTACAATTGTATTTGAAATACCCCCGTTTTAGTATTTAAATACACACGCCAAATACATTAGCCAATTTCTAATTAAATAAAAATCCAAAATACACAAAGTATTTGAAATACGTATTTCAAATACTTGTATTTGAAATACTGCCCATCCCTGGTCACTGGGCGATACTGCTACCGCCCAGTTACGTCATCAGGTTTTGCGAAGGAGAGATTGAATGAAAACACTCCGTTTTGTCCTCGAAATTACAGCGCAACAAAGGAGTTTCTTGGTCAGTGGCGTTGAGTGCGAGTATCCGTTGGTCCCACTAGTGCCAGTAAGCTTGTGTAAAGTGAAAAACATTCCAACTGAATATCGTTGCACCGCCCCTTTAATCTGCATGACCTGGTACCCTTGCATAAAAAAAGGTTAGCGCGAGACATGACTTTTTTTGTATAAGATAGTGAACGCTACAACTGATGCACCTTTACATTTAAGTGCGGTTTCTTTCAGTGTTCCCCAAAAGCAAATCAGATTTTCATTTCTTTTCTACCCGCAGAAAGTTTGTGTCCAGTCCCCGATGACACGCCTTCAGCTCCTTTATAATTGCGATAGGAGTGGTTTAGAATTGTTTTCACCCCTTTTAAATTTTAGAAGAGCATTTGACCGCTTGACAAACATCTGTGCTCTGTTGTTCTCCATTGTACTCCGTAGTTTTATTTATTTCCTTTTATCTTTTCTAACTCACGTCTTGCTTGTTTGTTTGTCTGTATCTGTTCTTTAATTGTTTGTAATATGCGCGCACTAATAAGGCCTCCAGCTGTTTGTGGGCACATTAAGCAGAATAAATAAATAAATAAACAGTGGACGCTACGAGCCATCCCAGCCAATCCAGTTCTGTGAACGAAGCACGTGATATGTTCTCCACGCTTGACTGCACTCCCTCTCCAAGTTCGCATAACACTCGCACGGCCTTGGAGACTTCGATGGCTTGTAGCATCTGCTGTGGCCAGACATAAGGGGGAACAAGGATAGTGTTGCCACGTCCTTCTTTTGCACCAGCCCTTTTTTTCTTGTTTTCAAAGCTTTTGCAGCTGGTAAAGCCTTTTCAAATCATCTCCAAATCTTCTCTTCTGCCTCCTGTTTTTGTTTTTTTTATGTTCAGGAGCTGGTGTTGGGCAGCTGGCAAACTTTTCGCCCGTGGCTCGCTTCACTTTTCGAGGCTAAATCAGGGTTAGCTTCAGTAAGAATGCAATCCTGCATTAAGCTGTGTCTTTTTTTTTTTTTTTTTATTTGAGACATCTAGCTAATGTAACTCGTTAGGTATGTGTGATTCTATGTTGACTTGCAGCAATATAGAGAGCAGTACCGATGTACCGTAAAGTCCCAAATGATTGTCCACCAACGGTTAAAAGATAAAAATACCTAAAAAAAGGGGGGGGGGGGGTAATCTTTCGGGGTCTGATGGCAAGAAGTTGTACTGGAATACCCTGCATACAAGCAATCACACGTTTGCCCCCATGTATGTGTACTATGCATGCGCAAGAAGTAGATTCACGTGAGGTGGAGTACATGCGCCCTACTGGCAGCAGTGCCACCGCACCATTGATTTCATCGTGCTTTCTTTGTTAGCCAGGGCATCTTTTGCTGTTGTACGAGAGATTATACTCATTCATTTCATAACAAAATGTGATAAATTTCTTGTGTACATTGCAAATAAAGTTATCTGCGCACCAAACCTACTGCACAGTCGAACGAAACCTTAATAAAAATAGTTACTCGAGCCTAGGCCCATAAGGCAAATATGCGGAGAATAGCCAGCCAATTAACTTGGCCCGGCGGCATGTGTGCCATGCGGAGAGCAAACGCTGGCAGGCAAAATCGGTCGCTTGTTCGCCGCATCGGGCTGCGCGCGTCCAACATTCGGCATCTAGAAACACCAACGGAGCTGGCTGTCTGTGTACATGTAAGTATATATAGTTGATTGCGGTATGTGAACGTCTGTCTTCACAAAGTGCAGCTAGACTGGTGTTTTTGTTGCTTTCTGGATACAATGAGTCGGATGTTAAATATATAGCATTTATAGACCATTCCATTAATGGGCTTCTGTGCACTGCCATCTTTGTTTAATGGTCTGTGCAGCCTATTCTGAGCGTGCGCAGTAGCTCTCTTTATGAGTATCAAATGCCGGATTTTTAACCGAGTGATAAGTGCTGGAAAGGTGCATTTGCAACTCCAGCGAAATCGACGTCAGCTAGTGCCTTGAACAGAAAGCTGTGGCGGCAGGTTCGCGCGCCGGCCTTCTTGAGCGAATCAGGTTTTCATAGCGCGTGACAGTCAAAACACGAAGCGGAAAGTAGGTTCTAAAACAGGCTATAAAAATCGCCCGTAGGGCCAGCTCAATTTTAGTGCTTTCGTGTTCGAGCCCGAGATATAGCCTCGATGACGTCATATGACAACATGACAATGCATAACACTAATGTCACGTGACACCATGACATTACGCGACATTATCACGTCATGGTGTGTCACATCGCCATGTGCTTTCCTAATGGTTATGTGCGGGACGTTACACTGTGTCGTCAGATGTCACCATGACGTCACAGAGAGGCTAGAGCATATAAATGCTATGCATTTATAGATCCTCTCTAATAGCTGTGCAGGGATGTGAAACTATTTTTAATGCGAAAGCATTAACTGCCCCATGAAGTGAGCCGACGTCATCAGCTTTGAAGCCGCGCCAAAAGGCACCTGAACGCCTTTCTCCAAGTGAAGCCGGATCCCAGCTTTGAAACCATGCGTAAAGCCTAGCCAAACGGCGCCTAGTTTCCCCGACCCCAAAGGAGCGGAGTGAAGCTGGTAAATTTCGGCTTCGGCCCCATTGGCTGGCGCGTGTCATCATTGGGCGCTGCGCGTCAGTTTCAACGACCGCCACACCATGGCGCTGCGTGTACGCAAGATCTCGTACATATAATGGAAGATATATACAGATAATAAGCTTAACGGAACAATAGAATGGATAACACGAGGAACATGTGAGAGAACAAATAAAGAAATATACATTTAAAAAAGACATCGCACCACCACAGTTTTGACGAGCAGAAACTTGAGTGTTTTCTGCAGACAAAAAATATGTTGTTTTTTTTTGTACACAGCTGAATGATGACCCGCTTCACGGTGTCTGTGCTTTCCTATCAGCTGCAGATCTTTTAAAACGAGGGTTTTGCAGGCCTCTTTTTAAAGGCGTAAATGCCCCAGGGTTCATAGCAGAACATGTGGAGGGACTCCTCGCAGATTGCTGGACAGAGAAGCTTCTCCGACTGTTCTGCCATGGAAGCACAAAGATTCTTCATCGCATCATCCATCTGTATACCAGATTGAGAATACACGCCGGAAAGCGCCCTTTAAGCTTGCCCACAAAGGTAAGGCAAGCGCGGGCACAAAGAGAGCACCAAAAATGTCTATGTCGTCCAGGGTTGGGCAGAAATACTCAAAAATGTATTTCGAAATACAAATACTGGGATACATGAAAATAGTAGCTAAAATACTGATACTGAAATATATCTGCAAAATTGTATCGCGATACGTATCGGAAATCCATTTTAAAAAGAGGCAAAAAGTCTTTGGAAATACAAATACAGGAATACATTTTAGGGAGGGCAGAAATACAAATACAGAAATACTGATACTGCAATACATTTTTTTGCCTTTGTTTGAGAGCCCAACTCGTTTCATACACAACAAATTCGTCGGGAAGTGCAATGAAAATCATTCTTGCTTCGTCTTTTATTTGACATTCAAGCGATACAAAATAAAAACATGCAACATTAAAGCGATACAAAGGGAAAACATGGCAGTCCTAAATTCAGTTACACTTGAGGAGTAGGAGCTTCTCAAATAGCCCATCTGTGAGGCGTTGCCGATTCGGGCGCAGCGTCATATTGGCAAAAGAGAATAGGCGCTCAACTGCTGCCGAGGAACACAGGTTCGTATTGAACCGAAGAAAAACCGCTTTCACGGCGGGAAGTCGTGGAGCATGCACATCTCATGCCTTTGGTCCTCTAGGTATCTGTAGACTTCGGCCCGGAGATGGTGCTGTGGGGTCCTCGGTGGAGGGGTCTGCACATCGAACTCAAAGAACGAGTCTTCGGGTGCCGGGAAAGACTCCTCCTCAGGCAAGGGCTCCGGTACGAAACCACAGGTTTCAGCCGCACGCACCAGGAGGTCCTCCAAGTTCGAAGCCCTGCCATCTTCCTTCGATGTCCACCTCAACTTGAAGAACGGGTGCGAGCAGGTAGCGATGAGGGCCTCTTCGTTTTCCATCCTTAAGAAGGTTCCGAACCGCTTATGTAGGCCTTCACGAACGCTGTCCAAGATTACTGCGCTGGTCCGGGTTTTAGGCTGGATCGCGTTGAGCTTCTTTTGGACAGTGGTCAGTGTCGGGAGGAGCTCGCCATAGTGGCCGTTGGTGCTTTTTTGTAGAATATTGATTGCTAGAAAGATAACATAGCATGGCGGATTATTTTTATAATTCAACTCAAAACACGCATGTCTAATGGTCTCATCAAAGCCAAGGTCGTCTACAATAATTATCCCGTTCTGACTCCCATTAAAACATATCTAGCACGAAAGGAATGGAAGGGAAAGAGGAGGACCTTTCTTACCTGTGGCAATTGGATATATGATGTCGCGATACTCTTCCAAGAATTCGAGCTCAGCATCTCTGAAGGTCGTCAAGTCGAGCTTCTTGGAGAGTGTCCTCAGCTGGGCTTTGTTGTCTAGAAGTGCGACCAGGGCGTGGTAAAGGGAGCTCCACATGGTCACGCATGGTGTAGGTAGCTGCCTCCCAAGAACCGAAGCCACTGTTTCCCCGGATTTCGGGTGATGGGAGGAGCTCCAGTACTCTGAGCACTTCGACATCACGCTGTCATGGAGACGGTTGCAAGATGGAGGTTTGCTTAGTGCTTTTTTAACATCACATGTCACGATGAGGCTGAGAGTGTGGCAAGCACACCTCAGATGATGCGGGAGCGACGGCGTGGTAACGTCACGAGAAAAAGAGAAGTCATCCATTGCATCTCCGTTATACACCAACTCAACTCTCCTACGTCACGCCGCGGTGGTGGCGCGCCGGACGCACTTCCGGTCTGGGGCGGTGGGCAGAAGTCGCCGTGCCAGACATGCATTCCTGTGTTCCTTCGGAAGAAACGAGACAAAAAACCTGCCTTCTCGTCAAAATGCTGCGATGGGGGCTTTACCAAGAGAGTCTGGAAAGGTTTAAAGATCAGTTTTCATGTGTTTCTGCACCCTCCGTTCTTCCGAGAACGTGGATAGCAGCCGTGAAAAGGGCAAACCAGACGCTATCGAACTACGATTGCGTGTGCGGGCCACAATTTGTGGTCGCCAGATGTATTTGCTTTGTTCCAACAGGAACGAGAGAAAACCCCCAAGTTGTCCGGACCACTCACGGATTCAGTGCGTCTTCAAATTCACACGGCCGCCTGATCGTTCGAACTTTCGTCTGCTCTTTCAAACTTGTCTGCTTTTTGTCGTCTGCTCGTTCAAACAAAAGCGACCCGTAGACCAAACTTTGACCCGGTGATTGCAATAAGAAGTAATTGAAGGCCTCAAAAGACTTAAGTAGGCTCGGTGTAAACAGTCGATACAAGATGTTAATTATTGGTACCGTTGGCCATCGCCTACTTGTTAGGCTTGGTCTGTTCCCGCTTCCGATTTTCAGTATCGACGTCGATCATCGCCGCTACCTTTTACACTTTTGCAGCACGAGCGACGTCGCGACCGAAAATAGTACAAGAATTTCATCATGGTTTTGGCGTCCATTCTGCAGCGTTCATGCGAATGAATCGCCGCACGTCAAACTATTTACGGAAAGTTAAGCGGCGTAACGAGCCTTGATAATTTCGCTCAGGCGATTGAAGTGGTAAGACATTGCGATGACGACGTAGAATCGACAATTCCAACGCGAAAAAGAGTATGCAGACTCACACAGACGCCGACAACGTGACATTCGAATGGTTTGTTGACGCGGGACGCGGTGCTTCTTGCCCGTACTCCATTGCGCGTGCGTTCGAACTGTCGTCTGCTCTTTCAAACTTGGCTGCTTTTTGTCGTCAGTTCGTTCAAACGACAGCGGCCCGTAAACCAAACGTTGACCCGGCAATTGCGATAAGAACTAAGTGCAGGCCTCAAAACACTTTTGAAGGTTGGTTGGGGTAAGTCGGCTAAGTGTAAACAGATACAAGAAGTTGTTGATCATTGTTACCAGTGGCCATCACCAACTTGTAATGCCCGATTCTACTTGCGGTTTTCAGTATCGATATCCACCATCTCAGCTACGGTCCACGCTTTTGCAGTCCGAGCGACGTCGCGACTGAAAATAGCGAGCGGAATCTCATCGTGGGAGTCAGGCTTTAGCGCCCATTCTGCGGCGTCCACGTGAAATGAATCGCCGCACGTCACATTATTCACGCAAAGTTTTGCCTCGATAGTTTTGCTGAAGCCGCTCAAGTAGTCAGACATTGTTAGGAGGACGTAAAATCAACAATTCCAACGCGAAAAAGAGCACGGGGACTCCCACCGACGCCGACAACAACGCAATTCAATGGTTTGTTTATGGGCGACGGCGGGCTTCTTGCCCACCATCCACCGCGCATGCGCGGCGCCGGTGGCGTCCGCTAGGGGCGCTCCGGTTTGTTTGTAAACATGAGTTGGTGTATAGGACAGGAAGGCGTAAGCGACATTTGATGTAACTCAACGACTAGTTTATACGTGTAGTGCCTGAGGGAGTTGAATGACAACTGTATTATTTAAATATTAAACAATAAAAAGTTAAATTGAAATATGTGAAATTGATGCCAGATGTTAATGCGGACTCACCTTCACTCTGGCTATCAATGCCGAATTCTTTAAATGCCTTCACAAAGTTACTTCCATTGTCGGTTACGGTGCCGACGACCTTCTGTGTGTCCAGGTCAAACTCCGTGTAAACATCCACAAGCATGTCGGCGACGCGGTCATGTGAATGGGTTCCTTCGAACCGCTTCCAGGCTAATGCAGCTGACACTCGGTTAAGCGTGTCAGGTGCGATCTGAAAATACGCAAATAAATTTACTTTAAAACTCACAAATACAAGTAGACTTGTGAAATGAACGGTTATAAAGGAATGTCGCAAAATAAACCTTTCAGACAAGGAGGGCTTTGAAAATATATCTGAAAGGCATTCGGACAAAAGTAAATTGTATAGTTTAAGTTTTCTTGAATTACAAGTTTATAGTCAAATAATCTCATAAGCCGACTGAGCAGCTGCGTAAAGGTTTTTCATGAGAACAGCGATCATGCGGTGCATTTAGAATGATATAAAAGAAATGACGAACACGAGATCACGCACGCTATGAACACGTTGACATATATTGTATAATAGAATAATAAAGGCACCTCACCCAGTGAGCTGTAGTGCCCATAAAACTCCTTGTTCTGGTTGACCAGACGTCTGCGGTGGTGCACACATAGGCTACAGACTGTAGGGTGGACCGAATGCTGGAAAGCTTCCTCTCGAAATCCTCATCAATTTTCCGAGCAAGAGTCCTTCGTGACATCACCGTGGCTGTTGGGCACACTCCTAAGACGGCAGAACACAAGGCATCTAGATATACACTAACTACAAAGGAAATATTCGCAACGTCGCAGTCACAGAAAGTCAAGAGATTATTACCTTTCACGAAGTCCTGGAACGGTTCGTCGTCAACAAAATGCAGAGGTAGCATCAGGTTTTGAAGAAGCCGATCAAACTTCCTCTGGTCGACTTGTCCGGGAATGCTCATGAAATTGTCGATCTTTCTTTGACTGACATGTGCTTATGACCGCTCCCCTCCGTCCTTTGGTATGCGTCCGCAGGTGATTTTCTCAGGCCTCTGTAGATACTTCTCATACTCCGCTGCACTCGCTGGATGTACCCGCTGGTGTGTATAAAAATCGACTTGGTCACTATAGCTCTAGGGCAAAAACAAATGTACGACATATTTTATGAACTACAAAGTAAATGCTCACCCTGAGATGAAGCTTGAAGTTTGAGGTAGAAGTTTTTGAGCCCGAAATTACTTTCAGGCAGGTTTGGCACTTTGCCTTGAAGGTAGTGGTTTCGGAAAAAGAGGAGTCTTCAATGGGCTCAAAAAAACTTTCCATCAAAGGTTGACCGCGGTTCCTTCCCTGACATCCTGTCTGTCTGACGACTGATGCGAAGATACTTCGACCTCTAAATAAATTTCATGTCACTCTAAATCCCATCAAAACGTCACCGCGGTCCTTTCCAATGAGGGCGCCCCTTTCAACAATGATCACATATTGGGGAGGACGACAGACCGTGACGCGCCAAGCGGTTAACTTTAGAACTACACGGATGGGGACAACAAATACAATGACTTAGCGCTCGGCCGACATAGCCGAACGCGGCGTCAGCGTTCGGCTGGAGTTCGTGTTCTCTGGTGAGGGGGAGGAGGGGCTCTTTTGTTTCTACTCGGGCCTGCATGAACAATGCAGCATGAACGGTCCCAGCTCCGCACAAAAGCCGAAGTGGGTCAAGCTCGCATTCTCTGAGGATAGATCCGGCACTTAACGTCGCTTCGCCGATTGTTAGTATTTTTTTGGGACCGGACATTTCATCGAACGCCGTTTCGTCGAACGCCGTTTCATCGAACGCCGTTTCATCGAACGCCGTTTCATCGAACGCCGTTTCATCGAACGCCGTTTCACCGAACGCCGTTTCATCGAACGCCGTTTTATCGAACGCCGTTTTATCGAACGCCGTTTTATCGAACGCCGTTTTATCGAACGCCGTTTTATCGAACGCCGTTTTATCGAACGCCGTTTTATCGAACGCCGTTTTATCGAACGCCGTTTTATCGAACGCCGTTTTATCGAACGCCGTTTTATCGAACGCCGTTTTATCGAACGCCGTTTTATCGAACGCCGTTTTATCGAACGCCGTTTTATCGAACGCCGTTTTATCGAACGCCCTTTGAAACAGCGTGCAGTGTTATCATAAAAGGAAGCCGCAGAGCTTTTTGAAATTTATAAAGAGGCCTAAGGACACGGGAACAGAAAATTGTACTTTGTGCTTTTGTCAGGGACGATTGTCTGTTTCAATTGCAAGATACACAAAGGAACCTTTGCATGGATGCAAAGGTTCCTTTGTCATCCATGTTCCTCTGGGTTTTTGAATGTTTTGTCCCCTTTGTACTGTACTGGCACAGACGAGGAGGGCGCTGCGTTTGACCCCTCTCTCCGTTCGTCCCTTTTGCGCTTCTCTTTATCTAATTTTATCTGAAGTCAATCATAGCCGGGAAGTCAGAAAACCTTGAAGACGGAAACGGTTGTGGGGTCGTCTTTAAGACTGCTTTTGTTTGCTTGGTATTCTTTATGAAGCCAATCCCACAGATTTCTTTATTTGTCGGTCTTTCTTTATTCATTTGGGGGGGGGGGGGGGGGATTCACTTGACGGACAATGCAATGAACTTGTCTCTAAGCATGAACAGGATCTTTGACTATCCGCCTTTCATGGCTTAGGAATTGCGGGGTATATAAGGTGATCATGATTACCACGGCGGGTAGTACGAAATGGAGATTCGGGAGACTACACGAGGAAAGCCAAAGCTCTGTTTCGGCGGATATGCTTACATTGTAGATAAACGTGTCAACGACATATTCTACTGGAAATGCGAACAGTACGGCGAATGCGGAGGTCGCGCCGTCACTGTCGGTGATTCAAGCATAGGGAACCACGTTCTGCAGTCATCGAAGGAGCACAACCATCTTCTGGACAGTACAAGTTCAGATGTCCTGCAGGCAAGGTCTGAAATCAAGAAGAAAGCGCTCCAAACTACAAGTGCACCGATTCAAATTGTTCAGGTATGTAATGCGTTCAATATCTTGCTGCTTAAAATAGCCTGTTATAAGATTATCACATATTTTCTTCCTTCTTAGCAAGTTTCCAGTGGCCTGAATGCTGAAGCGCGGCAAGTGCTGCCAAATGGAGATGTCCTTCGAAAGGTAATTAGTAGGAAACGATCGTCATTGTTTCCACCGGAGCCCACCAGCCTGTCCAGCCTTGTAATTGAAAACCCCTTCAGAAAGATCGACGGGCAACGAGAGCTTCTGCAGTACGACGACACGTCTCCTCAGGGAACGCGAGTTCTCATCTTCGCCACGTCTGAGAGTCTGGGGCACCTTTCACAGGTAAATATATTACGAATAGACATATTGAAAGGTCTTGCTAGGAGACTGAGATTTCTTGAATGACTACCCGTACGAATCTAATTCTTTTCAGGCGACTACCATTCTTTACGACGGAGCATTCAAGACCGTTCCGCGTCAATTCTACCAGCTTTACACATTTCATGGGGTCAAGGAGTTTCAAGGACGGAACATCTCCTTTCCTTTCGCATACAGCCTGTTATCCTCAAAGACAGAGGACGCCTACTTGCACCTGTTCAATATAAGTATGAAAGTAACGTCCCACTATTGGGAGAGAAGCACATTCTGTTTATTAGCATTTTGAAAATTCTTTGATTTCTGTTCTGTTTTCATTGCCGGCAGGTTTTGTTATAAGATTCCATTCATCTTTCTTCGCCCAGGCTCTCCTTCTCACCTGCCAACGCCACGGATTCGTACTGTCCCCGGGGTTCATAATCACGGACTTCGAAATCACCGCGATCAACGCGTTGCGACAGGTTTTCCAGTCAAGCGTGCTGCGCGGATGTTTTTTTCATTTATCTCAAAACGTGTACAGGCAAGTCCAGAAGACCGGACTGCAGGCTCAATATGCGAATGACGCCGCTTTCTCAAGCTTGGTGAGACAGCTGTGTGCCCTCTCCTTACCCCCTCATCGGATACGTCAGGTATGTTTGTCTCTACGCTGTGGCATATATACCTACATGTTGCGTGGCACTCTCTTGGAAGAGAAAATGCCTTATTTGTTTTTATGCTTTTACGCAGGGTTATGCAGAAGTCAAGCCCCACTTCCCACCCCAGGCAGATAAACTTCTCGAGTGGTTCGAGAAACACTACGTGATGGGGAGGGCAAAAACGCTACAGAACGGACTGGTGATTCGCGTCCCACCTCTCTTCCCTCCGAGCCTGTGGTCGGTGCAGCCTCCCATGGACCTCGGTCAGCCCAGAGGGAACAACAGCGTGGAAGGGTGGCATTCCCGCTTCCTTAAGCTGGTCGGAGGTGCCCATCCCGGGTTCTGGAAGTTTTTGACTTGCATCGCCGCAGAACATCAACTGACGGAAGACAAGCGATGCTGAGTTCCCAAGAGCCTCTTCGCCAGAAGATGACCATAGCGGCAAGAAATGAGAAGGTCCGCCTTCTTTATGAGAACCGACGAAGCATGGCTGTCGGAGACTCTTTGAGAGCAATTGCTCACCATTTGAAACGGTGAATGGTGGTCGAAGTAACACATGAACCCCCCGAAAGTTTTGAAATAACATTTGTTGTGACGTACTTACTTTTGACTTCATTGAGTCTTAGAACTAAGAAAAAAAATGTTTCGTTGTACTTTCGTAAATAGCACCTCAGCTTTAGCTACTGAAAACTTCGGACAGTAAAAAAATAAAAATCGAAGGACATGAGAGGCTAAGAGGCTCACGTGGCTAAAGTTGTTGCGCCTGCGCAAAACCTAAGTCGCCTTCTGGCCTCCATGAGTTGGAGTGCGCTCTTACCGGGAGTGCGACTTTTTATTTATTTGTTACAATACCCTCAGGGCCCATCGGGTAAAACAGAGGGGGTGAACAGATAAGCACAATATGCGAAACAAACATAAAAATCGGTACAAATATCCTCATGGGTTACTAGCATCAAAATAAATTGTAAAAGCTACAAGTTTGGACATTAAAAAACCTGACGATGAAATGAGTGAATGACACGAAAATGCACTCGACCCGTGCATAAAAAAGAATCTTTCACACTTTTTTTTATAAAATGCATTCAATGAAACGGCCGTCAGCGATTCGATAAAACGGCGTTCGATGAAACGTCCATTTTTTCGATGAAACGGCGTTCGATGAAATGTCCGGGAACCGTATTTTTTACATTA